TACATTAATTTGTATTTTATTTAAAATAATAATTATTACTATAACTGGGAATAGCAAAGAATTACAGTCATTTTTCAGGAATATTGTTACTATTTAGTAAATTTTCTAAACAAATTATAAGTTCATTAGATAATTCTTAGTTATTCTTTAACATATTTATAAATATAAGCATAAGATCTTGATTAATATTCTAAGTAATCAATTATGTTTAAAGTTGATCAACAACATATTTGGGAATAATTTATTTATTACTTGTGGCTGATAGTAAAATTTTCAATAATTTACCACTAATTTGTTATTAATCTAATTTTTTTGCAATACTTAAAATCACTCTAAATTTCTTCCTTCTTCAATTCATTTTAAAGTGCTTTAATGAGGTTTTATTGTAAATTTTCATATTTTGTATACTCTATGTGTATGTTTATAACATCTTTTTACATCTAATGAGCATTATTCACAATATTTTCAAATTAATTCATAAATTACACAGGTATAATTGATTATTTTAAGTTTAATTCTCAAGATTTCCATTATATTTTTTAGAATTATTAGTATCTTCACTATCTATATCCAGACAGTAAATCTAAGCCAAAGTTACTATATATTATAATTCTATTATTTGGCCAAATTTCTATTATTTTAATAATTAAGAATTTTTCCTACTTGGAATTTATAAAATTACATTTTCAATAAGTTAATATAAGGATTTATTTGTAGATTGCTAATTGATTTATTATCTATATATGACTTCTTTGCGCTCCTTATATACATTCAGAAAAAAAACAAAAAACAATATTTTTGAGTAATCTGCAAATTACATTTTTTAATTATTTACATTATTACTAAGTTTTTAAAAAACAGTAAATATAGGTTTCTTTAATGGAAAAGATAAATTTAGAAATTCATTAAGGCTTTTAAGTACAAAAAAAAGGTTAATATGGTAGAAGATTTAATATTACATAGAATAACTATATAACTATAGTATAAATAATTATTAAAATATGCCTTCAAACACTCCCTTAAATGAGTATTTAAGTATAAAAAATAAATAAGATGATTTATGGAATGATAGATTTAGTTTTATAAAGATTTTTATTATTATTAGTTAATTTAATATAACTTTGAATAAGTTTGAATGAGTGACAGGTAGCTATTTAACTTTTTTGGCTATTGTTGAATAGTACATTATAAATTATTTTTTCTTGTTATTTTAGTGATATATTAGAATAGCAATTTTAACTAATTTAGGATTTACTCATAGATATTTCCTTTATAACTAATTAGATTCCTTAAGAGTTATTTAATATTATGAAAAAGGAAATGCCTAATGGTAAAGGATTGATATTTCATTTGATCTCTGTTTAATGGATAAAATCTTTTGGTAGTTTTAGGATTTTAATAATCTTGTTCAAGGTAAACTTGTTCTATCCAATAAAGCCTATCCTTAAATACAAAATCTATTTCTAAATGGCTAGAATTGAGTTTTTTGGAATAATTAGGATTATTGTAACATACATCTAAATTTTAAGACTATCAAATAAGTCAAGAATAATTAGCCCTATTTAAGGATGATGTTTATGTTTAAAACATAATAAAAACATTTGATAAAATAATCATCTATTTGATTAAGTATGGAAATATATTTATTGTAGATGACATCATAATTTGATTCACTTCACAGTATTTTTTATCCGAATCTGAATAACAAACACAAAAGTGATAAAATTAATATAAAATCTAATATTTCAATATATTTTTCATATAAATCAATTCTCTAAATAAAAATTTATCTTGATTCTTTTTTATCATTCTTAGTATTTGATGATTCTTTAAAAATATCAAGATAATAAAATTATTAAACATGGTTTACAATTCTCTCTTTTATTTAACTATTCTTATAATTTTTATAATATCTAGATGTAAATTCTAGCATTTCGACATAAAAGAAAGAACTAAAAACAAAAAAATTTTATAAAATGAATTGAATAAATACTTCTGTCATTTATATCCCTTTCAAAATTTATTATCAATCAACTTTACCTTATTTTGGATATTTATTATCTTATAAATATTAATAAGGCAATAATACTATTATATGTTTCTCTATTATGTAAAAAAATGAAATAGTATAGTAATCTGTGTAATGAATAAATTCATGCTAAGATAACAAGCCCTCGGAATTTTGAAAAGGATTTCATTATTTAAAACTTTTTTAGGAGAAAATCTACAAAAAATTATTGAGAGGGTTCATTTATTCCAGCTTTCAGAATTTATTACTTAAATATCTAAATTCTTCTTTATTAACCTATTCCTTCAATTACTAATATATTATTAGAATTAGCTTCTAAATTTTATAAAATAAAACGCATTGAGAACAATAATTCCAATATCAAATTAACTTGTTTGTCTAGTCATTACTATAATCTTATTCGTTATTTAAAGTATATAAAACCTTATATAATTAATAATATTTATTTTTTGCCAGTCTCTTGATTTTCATAAGCTTTTTTATACATGAATAAACTTACATTTATTGGTAATCAACCTATATAATCGATATAAGATTATAAAACATTATATTTTACCTTCTTTTAAAGCACATATTAATTCGTAACAGAATTATAAAATTGATTTATAATCTTATGTATTTTTTCTTTTTTATTCTTAAACTTTTTCAAACCATTATTTAGCCTGAAAACTTATAAACTTAATGATGAACAATTAATACAAGCTACTTTAAATATATTAATTTTAAACAATAGATTCTAATTTAACAGTGTTTATTTATTATTCAGTCAATTTTTATTAAGCCAAAATTAAAGTAAATTTAGAAAATTCTAATTGATTGAATCTTAAATAATTCTTATTTTAAGAAGAAATTTTTTGTTTACCATTTAAATGAGAATTTAAAAAATCTTTATTTATTTAAATAATAATTAATAATTTATAAATAATCATTTTTCAACATATATTCTAATTTATATTTCTTTGCTTTTATAATCCCAAGTAACTAAATAATCTCCATTATCAGTTGCTGATCCATATAATAGATTATCTTAAAATAGAATTGATTATAAATTAATAAATTCTCCATTTTAATTCTTTTTAATCACATTTACAACACTACCAAATTTATTAATTAAGATAGATTTCTCCATTATAAATTGTTAAGGAAATAACCAATAATCATAATAATTATCACCTGATTATACTAGAATATCTTTAATTTTTACATATTATTTAGTCAAGTTATTCCATTCATATAAATTCATATATTAACCACTTATAGGTTAAAATGTAAATTGATTATCACCACTAAAACTTAGTCGAAAACCTTTATTTTCTAATTCAATTTTTTAGATTTAAACCCATTTTTTATCATTTCCTTATTATTTCATCACTATTATTGATTTATCATTAGAAGATATTAATTAATTTTGAGATTCATTCAAACTTAAACTAAATACAATATAAAAATCAGATATTGTTTAAGTTAGTTTCCATTAATTATGTTATTTCTCCCAAAATTTAATAGTTCCATCTTCACTGGCAGATATAATAAGATCTTCTTTATTATTCATTATTATATGAACAATCGAACTTGTATGTCCATTAAGTTATTATTAAATCTACCATTAATTATACTTAATTTCCCATATAATTATATTATTATCATCGCTTCCGGATATGAATTAATTTGAATTCTTCATAAAATATAGTGTCCTAACATCATCTTTATGTCCTTAAAGTGTTTAAATTAATTAAATTTATCCATCTTTGAATTCATATAAATTAATATATTTAGAATTAGTAGTAATCATAATTGATGCTTCTTTATTAAATGCAAAAGCATAACACATATCAACATAAAAAATAGAATTAATCAATTGATAATTAAATATTTTATCTGATTCATTTGAATTAAGATGTTTGTTATTTATTATCTCGTTGTCTTTCAAATTTTCTTATTCTTTATATTATTTTTTCTCTAAATCATTTTCTTATTCTTTCTCTTAATTAATTTAATTTATTTATATTTCACTATCTTTTTATGTTTAATTTAATAATTCAGATGATTCATTAAAATTAACAACTTTATCTTGATTGATTTCATTTAAATTAATTTCCTAATTTATTAATTATGGTTAATTTAATAATTAATAATAATTAAATAGCACAAAACACAAAATGATTGGCAAAATTATTTAAAATAACAATTGTTTAGGCTTTTTTAATTGATTTTAACGAACATAACCTGATTCTTTCAAATTTAAATTTCTAATTTAATCTTATTAAATAAAATCACTTAACATTGTTTATGATTTTTCAATGAATAATTAATATTCTTTATCTATAATCTAATTAAATTATTCCATATCTTTTGAATTACTTAATTGATTTGCAATTAGCTGTATTTATTCTTTAGATAAATTATAAAAATTATGATCATTTTAACTTTTTTATAATTATAGTTTGTTTATCCAATCTTATTTCTATTACTAATTTTTTTCTTATACTGTAAGTATTTATTTATTTACAATATTTCCATAATTTGTCATTAAATTATTAATTTATGTACCATGTTGTTCAATTTATTCAATTTTTTAATCAATATAATTAAGTTTTTAAGTTTTAAGTTAAATCATTTAATTCTCAAAAAAATCAAGTGATTTATATTATTAAAATGGATTTTATTAAACACAATTTGCACAAGCTAACCTATTTTTAATAACGTTCTTTTCATTTAGATTTACCATAACAATTTAACAATTATGAATTTCACAAACTATTCTATTCTAAAATTCAAATTGATTTTAATTCATTATTTTTAATATTAAATTAATTACATTCAAATTAAAACTCTAAAATGTTTGTTAAATAAATGTTAAGTATTAAATACTAATAATAATATAAACAATGAATTCAATTTTTAATAATTAACTATTTAAGAAAAAAGAGTATGATTTTAAAACTTATATTGTAATATAAATATATTCATGAATATTCTAATTACTTACTTTAAACCTTTTTTATATAATTTGATAAACTTATTTTTAATTTTATCTAACATAATGTCGAAAATCATTTACTATTTTTTTCCATCTATTTCTTTATCTTATTTTCATCTTATTCTCCAAATATCATATTTTCTCTTTGGTGATATATATTAAGTTTTTAATTTTATTTAACTTCTTCATTTGAATTATTTATTTTTTCGCTAAAAACTATTGTTCTTATTTGGTATCTACAATAGTTTTTACTATTTCAAGAAAGGAAAATACAAAGTTAATATTTAAATGTTTATTTATGCAAGCTTAAGATAATGGCAAACATACACATTTTTTCGATAATAATGCCAAAATAATTGTAAAAGCGCAGTATAATTAGCCAGAAATATTAGTGCTATTGTAAATATTGAGAACTTATATAAAATTGTATTTTCATAATTTTATTGTATAAAATGGTTTTTATGCTTAATGTCTAATTGTAATAACACTAAAAAATCTTAGGTGTGAGTAATTTTATTTTGCAAATCTTAAATGACCGAAAGATAGCAAATATTAAAAAGGATTATTCTAAAGCTGCTAAGTTACTTATTTATGTAAATTTTATTTATGTTGAAAAAACCAAGTGCAATATTTTAGATTTGAAATACATTTGTTTGATATTATAAATAATAGAAAACTAAAAACGCTGATTAAAATTTAAAAAGTTATTGTAGCTGATATGAAACGGGTTTGGGGTTGGGTTTGGGGTGTGGGGTTG